CCTCCTTCCTTCCTTCCTTTCTTTCCGTTCTTCTTCTTTCTTTCCTTCTTTCTCTGTCTCTCTTCCTCCCTCCCCCTCTCTCTTTCTCCTCCTTCCTTCCTTTATGGCTGCGTTGGGTCTTCGTTGCTGCACATGGGCTTTCTCTAGTTGCAGCGAGCAGGGGCTACTCTTCGTTGCAATGCGCAGGCTTCTCATTGTGGTGGCTTCCCTCATTGCGGAGCACGGGCTCTAGGTGCGTGGGCTTCAGTAGTTGTGGTTCATGTGTTCTAGAGTGCAGGCTCAGTAGTTGTGGCACACGGGCTTAGTTGCTCTGCGGCATGTGGGATCTTCCCAACCAGGGCACGAACCCGTGTCCCATGCTTTGGCAGGCAGATTCTTAACCACTGCGCCACCAGGGAAGTCCCCCTTATTATTTTTTTTATTACACATTTCTTTTGCACTTTTACATGTGTTTTTTAAAAAATGCTTTACACAACCTCAAAACACGTTAAAACCTAACCTTCAAAGAAAACACTTAGGCACGTACACACACGCGAACACACGCAAGTGCACACACACAGGCGTTCACGCACACAAGCGCCTGCTCCTCTACACAGAGCCTATCTCTGGAAGGGAACAATGAAACCAGAACCAGTGGCTGCCTCTGGGACAAGAGACGGGAGACTTATCTTTCATAATACATTTTGTACCACGTCCATATGTTCTGTATGCAAAAAAATAAATAGCCTCTTTTTTTCCTGAAGAACTTAAAGAACTGACTTAGTAAACGACACTAAGATAGACTACAACTTAAGAAGGAACCCTCTTCCCCTTTAATTCTGAAATGAGCCTTTTTGTGTAACTGCATCCTCCCCTCAGAAGAGCCTTCATGTTTCACTCTGATGGCTGTGGTAAGGCACTCTGAACATTAAACATCCCGCTTTCTTTTAAATCCGCTGTAAAATAGTCCTCTCCACTGGCCTCTGTAAACAGCTCCTGGCACGTCAACTTCTTCATCTCAACCCTCTCCCTCTCGGAGCCCCGAGGCACCCGGCCTGCAGCTCGCTCGTCCCTGAGGCACCCGTGTGCCCGAGGCCAGCCTCCAAGGAGGCTTCTTACAGGCACCACAGGGACTGGAAGCCCGGGGACCCTGTGCCGGCCGGGCTGCTGCATCAGGTGAGTGTGCTCTGCAGGCACGCCGCCCTCACGCCCGCCCGGCCCAGCCTTACCCTCCACGGGAAGTACTGGTCTTCCAGGCGACCGATTCCCAGGCACCCTCGGATGTTCTTGCCCCACACAAACAGCTCTCCTCTGTCTGCAAATAAAGAAAAACGGCTTGGTTGGGGCTTGAGGCCAAGGGCAAGTCTCCAAGAGGAGGAAGGGTCATGAGAATAGGCTTTCTAGAACCAGGTACAAAAAGATCGAAGTTAAACTTCAATTTCTCCCAGGCATTAATGCTTTCCCATACCAAAAACATGTCCCGGCCCAGAGTCATGCTGTGTCGCTCTCATGGGAGATGAACACATGCCTGGAGGTGGGCCCAGGGGCTCCTGTACACGGCCCGGGCCCGCTCTGTGCGGCCCTTACACACACACCCTCATCGCCCACTTATGTCTAACCAAACCCTGCCCTCCACAAATCCTGAAATCTCAGCATCCTCAAATCCTGGTCACGCCCTGACAGAGTGAGAAGTAGGACAATTTGTCATTTCTTGTCTGGGTCTCCACATTTCAGAAGCATTTGGTCAAGTGACACACGGTGACTGGGTGCCTCTTTGGGTCGAGTGTACATCTGTGTGCTAGGAGCTGGGACAGCATGGGGACCGACACGCATGTTCCTGTCCTCACAGGGCTGGAGCTAGTTGAAGAGCGAAAACTAAACAAATGATTAAACCAACAAATGCATGTTTTCAAATTGTAAACAGTGCCATGAAGGAAAAGGACAGGCAGGGTGCTGGAGGGGCAGGCCAGGAGGCTGAGTCCAGACTGGGGCTCTGGGAACGCCAGCTCCAGGATGGACCCTCAGGCTGGGCAGGGCCCTCAGTGCAGACTTCCGTCCACACCAGCCGGGGGCAACCTCGGCGCGGAGGCCCCATTTACCAGCCCCCTCTGGCAGAGGCGCTGGTCATGGAAGAAGGGAAGACATGGGGGAGCCGGCACTGACACAACCGGCTGATGAAGTAAGGGATCCTTCTGGGACAGAAGGCCTCTGGTCCTGCTGCCGTCCGTGGTCTTCCACCTCAGAGGTCGTGTTTAACAGAACAATTCAGTCTGGCCCCCAACATGTTAGCAGACCTCAGGGCAAACCAGAGGAAGCCAGGCTCTGAGGCTCCCCCTACTGAGGCTCTGAGGCTCCCCCTACTGAGGGACAGTCACTGGCACTTGGAGGGTGGCTGTTGGGTCTTGGGGGAAATCTAGGTAGGATTTCATTCCAGTGTGACCCCAAATGGCCGCATGGCACGACAGCAGACAAAGCAATCTACCCTAGTCAAAGGCTTCGTCCAGTTTCTAAGTACATGACTTTGCATGTAGTTTAAGCCTTAAACATTGGGGAAATAGGTTACTGTTACCTCCAGAATTCGCCCACGCTGACTCTATCTGCTACATCAAAATAGCTTTAAAACGCCAACGTGACACAGACGCACTTGCAGATGAAGGTGGCTGACCCTGCGTGAGGGGTGTGAGGGGTCCTCCACCGCGGGCGCCACTGCTGCCACCCAGTGCCTCAGCGCACAGACAACACTCCCCCCACCTCCACAGCGGCCCACGCTGCAGCTGCTGCCGCTCAAGCCCCAAACCCTGAGACGCAGACACTAACTGAACGGCAGCGAGGACTCTGCAACAGCGTGCTCGCCTGCAGCAGTCCTCACAGCAGCGCGAGGCCGGGGAACACAGACGAGGACCACCCAAACTGCCTGTCCCGGCCCAGATGTTTCCAAAGGAAACAACAGCTTGCCGTGAGATAAAACGGTCTTTAAATTGCAAGGAAAAAGTGAATTTACTTGAGAATCACAAAATGAAATTTAGTTCCGTCTTACTATTCAAGTCAACTAACGAGGAGCAAATTGAGCCGACAGCCGCGGCGGGGGGATGAGAGCTGTAATCAAGAAGCGCAGACACGCGGGAGGTCTGCAGAGTAACTTTGTGTGTCGTGGCTTTGTAACTGGGCAACCCTCTGAGAAAACCTCCATTTCAGCCCCCCTTCGATCACTCCCCCCAGCACTTTGGAGAAACCGGGCACATCTACCCTGTCAAAACCACAGGACGGTCTTATAAATACGCCTCTTGCCACCCCACGCTCCTGGCTCAGATGAGGGTCGGGCTTGGCCAGGGACCGGGATGAAGCCCCCCACGCTCATTTCCTCCTCACCCACCGCAATGTACCAAACCTCCGCGGGTCTCCCCCAGCAGCCCGGCCCACTCGAGGGTCCCCTCTCCCACCACCGACTGCGTCCACTTGAGAAAAGTCACTGCAACGCCAGCCTAACCACAAACCAAATGAACTGAAAACACACCTCCCGGGTGAAAAGGAGACACACATTAGACCACCTCAAGCCAGACAACTTCTGGATTAGCTGCTCTCTCTAATTATCCACACAAGGGTGCCACTCCACTGGATGGATGGAAACTGAGAGCAGCCCAGGGTTTGGGGCTGAACCTGAGAGGGTGAAGCTCGGTACGGCCTTGGGGCCACACGGGCTTGGTCACTTACTGGTGAGGGCGGCGAAGTGGCTGAGTCCACAGCAAATGCGGGAAACCTGGACTCCTGGATTGAACTCCGTCAAGCCAAAGAGAGTGGGTGGAATCATTTCTGGAAGGGCAGTTTCCATGAGGTTTGGTCCTTTCCCAAGAATTCCATAGCCCCAGACGAAAACATGTCCTTCTCCTGGATTACAGGAAAAACAACGGTCAGGAAGTCAAACCAAGTGCAGCCCTCCCTCGCTAGAAATTCAAACCGCACCACCAAGATACATTATATCCACATGAACTTTTTCTTCCCCTCTTCTTGCTTGGCAAGAACATGTTGATATTTAAAATAATGTTTCTTTTCTCCTCTTTCAAATTCTTGCTTGTGGAGTGTGTCTAGCCAGCTAACCAATCTCACAATACAAATGTCCTACATCTTGAGTGTGCTGGACGGGGCCACTCCATAAATCAGCCACAACCCCCACGTGAACACAGGAGAGCCTTAGAACGGCAGCTTTTCCTAACAGCGCTATGTCTCACATGGATCAGAGACCAAGCCAAGTACACACACAACTTCTGGCTAGATTCTAAAATTCGTAATGATTTTCAGGTCATAAAAAGTTTACTACTCATCAGTGGTGCCAGACGTTTAATCCCAGGGGCTTGGCTCCCAGTACCTGAACCCTAAGGCTCTTCTCCTATGTGCCCGTGGCTCTTAGCACGGCCTTTCTGGAGAAGGCAGGCCTGGGGGCTTTGGCCCAGGCTTCGGGAGGGAGCAGTACTTCATCCTCCACTCCAGAGGTTTGCGATAGTTACTCAGCTCTATGCTGGCTGTTCGTCAACCTATAAATCATGGCTGTTATCCTTCTGTCAGGAATGTCACCCTCACTCTCTATTAACTGAACTAAACTAACTAGATCTTCCCACAACCGTGCTCCCCACACTGAAAACCATAGCCTGAATCCAGCGGACACCAACCCTTCCTCACCCAAGCCACCCACAGCTTCCCAGCAAACTGCCTGCGAGAGGGTCTCACCGTTTAGTACAGCACAGCCTGTGCCCCCACTCGCAGCCTGCTTCACCCGCCCGACTCCTGAGAAGGGCAGGCACCGGGGGACGTTCACCTGAATCAAAGGAAGGGACCACACTGCTAGGAAGACAAACCAGCGAGAACTTGGAAATACTGTTTCACGTACAGAGTAGGTAAGTCCCGGTTCATTCATTCCCTCCCCATATATCTCCTGAACATCGTACACATGCTAAGCTTCTAACTGCATGCTGGGAAGATGACAGGCAGCAGGAGAAGCAGTCCCGCTCTCAAGACTGTAGTCCAATGGGGGAGGCAGATGTCAGCCAAACCTAACACGGGATGAATCTGTGCTGAATGCAATGAAGGAGAGTACAGGGGTCCCTGGCGTGAGTGTCAGGGGACCTGATCTGGTGTGCGGGGAGGGGCAATCAGGAGTACGCGGGCCAGGGGAGAAGAGAAGGAAATCCTGAGGCAGCGAGATGGACGTGCAAAGGGAGCAAGATGAGTGTGGCCCGTTCAGGAGCTTACACAAGGTCAGAGTGGTTGACGCAGGGGCACAAGGGGGAGTATCTGTAAGATGCCGGTGGGCAGAAGGGAAACCAGATCACGCAGGACGTTGTTGATCATGGCAAGGGTTTGGTCTCTATCCTAAGCACAACAGGGAGGTAGTAAGGGAGAGGGACGTGATTTCTAGAGGGAAACGTGAGTGGACGTGGGTAACAAGGGAGAAGGGCCAGGATGCCGGGCTGAGCATGAACTCACTCCGGGATGCACTGAACTTGCGGTGCCTAGAGACGGCCGTGGCACTTCTGCTCAGAGTGACAGACGGAGGCTCACGGCTTGGGAGAACGAAATGTGGCCAACTTAGCTGTCCAGCAGGATTTGGTCTTGGCACCCCTACTGAGAAATAACTTTGCAAGATAGATTTTAAGTGCTTCTGTGACAGCCATGAATCTTTTCAGTCACTTGCAAATGGAGACAGCTGGAGGGTAGCAATCCCTCAGATGACTCCAAGGGAATAAAGGGGCTTCACTGATCCGAGATGGCCTGGTGTCTGCCGCCCGGCTCTCACAGCTTCTCTACCCAACTGGGCTCTGGCACAGGGCCCTCGGCAAAGGCTGAGAAACCCTCCAGCAAAGAGCCACTGGAAACGCACCACTGTTGTCACTGACAGGATGAGGCTCGGACCACGTAAAGAATCATGGATGCGGTGGGCTGCTTCCAAAACAAGTGACCCGTCTGTGCTAGTCACACCGTGGATAATCTGTGCCCTTGTGTGTGGGAGTTAGGCCTAGCGACTTGCTTCTAAAGAACAGAATTCCAGCAAACGTGGCGGAAGGCACTGCCAAGATGAACTTACGAGGCACTGGCTTCCGTCTCACCGACACGCGCTCTCGCCCTCTCATTGGCTCACTCGGCCGAAGCCACGCTGTGAGCCACCACTTGGAGAAGCCTGCATGGCAAGGAGCCGAGGAAGGCTTGGACAACCACTGTGAGCTGGCCAAGTGCCAGCGAAGACCTGGGGCCCCAGGGCCAACAGTCCACGAGGACCTACACCCTGCTGCCAACAACCAGAACGGGCCCGGAGGCAGGGCCTTCCCAAGGTGAACCCCAAGGTGACACCAGCCTTTGAGAGACTCAGAGCCAGAGACCCAGCTAAGCCACCCCTAGGTTCCTGACCCACAGAAACGGTGAGACAATAAATGTGTGTTGTTTTAAGCCGCTACGTGTTGGGGTCCTCTGTCATGCAGCACAGATAATGATGACATGACCCTAGATCTGCCCTCACAGGAAGGCCGTGGGAGACACTGATCTCAGGCCTTGCTATCCGGAAGGCCAGTCCCTCTTCTATTTGCTGTTTATCTTATGGAAACAATGAATCACTTCAATGACCACGTTTTCGTCTCTGTTTTGGCTACTAGAGAGCTCAGAGCCAAATCTGCAGCCACTTCAAGCTACTGTGTCAGACCGCAGAGGATGAACTGTTTCATCCAGTTAGCTGATCTTATCCATTTGCGCATATCTCTTTATCTATTAATATATATTTCAAACCCTTCTGTATGTTGTCAGAAGCTTGATGACATTCAGTCCTTATCACTTAGAGATCCATGCTGACTTATGGATATGATGTCTAGGATTTGCTTCAGAATAACGCAGGACAGAGAAGCAGATGGAATTACAGATGCAGCGAGATTGGCCATTAGGTGTATGGGGCTCTTTGGAGAGCAGGGTGGGGAGGGTGAATGAAGATGTTCTAGAATTAGTGGGGACAGTTGCATAACCTTGAGAATATACTAAAAACCACTAAGTCACACAATTTAAAACAGTAAATTACCTATTTTTTTGAACGGGCCATTAGTTGGTAATTGTTGAACACGGATGATGGATACACAGATTAATTATGCAGTGAGGTCTACTTTTGCTTACGTTTGGAATTTTCCTTAATAAAATGTTGAAAGCCCTACTGTACTGTACTGACGGTGTGACAGAGAGAGGCCAGCAGCAGGACTGCCAATGCCCTACTGCATGATCTAGGGGCCGCACAGGTGTCTTCACCAAGGTGCACACCTCAGATCTGTATATTTGGGGGTACACACACTAGACGGCAACTAGAGGCCGACTGTGACATCACAGGACCTTATGTAAACAGCCTCACATCCCTTTCAGAACAAGACAGGGCATGCAGACATACCTAAACTACTGCTCTAAACCAGGACTATCTCATCGAAGTATTGATAATGATGGCTTTTGCATCTAAGCTTTCTTTCCAGGCTCCAATGAGATTGCCAAGAACTCGGCCCCTTGAAGAGGCAGCCGTAGCACAGGTGAGGCCTACACGGCACTCTATACATCACCCCTTCGTGAAGGATCTCTTCTAAACATCCTTAACACTCTATCTCCAAACCCCCAGCCCCAGGCTGCAGAGGACCTCGTGGGGTCTTACCTGTGTGGAGTCCGTGACAGAGGCCAGCTGCAGGTACTCAGAGTTCCCCCACCCGAAGAGGCTGCCATCGACCGACACAGCCAGGCAGCAGTCCCCGTAGGTGGCCACCTGGACAACGTTCACTCCGGCAAGGTCTCCAGCCAGCTTGGTGGGTGCGCTGGTGATATTGTAGTGACCCAGACCTGGAACAATGGAAAACTGTGTTACTTACTTTTAATTGTTTATTCTTTTAACAAACACTTGCATTGACCTACTATGTGTCAAACACGGTTTTAAGCACTTTGCAAACATCAACTCAAAATCCTAATCTGTTATTCTACATGCTGTACAACTTCCTTCTCCATGTTCTCTCAGAAAAGGAAAAACCATCATAGTAATTGTTTACTTTTAAAACCCTTGATGGGACTTCCCTGGTGTTCCAGTGGTTAAGAATCTACGCTCCTAATGCAGGGGGCCAGGGTTTGATCCCTGGTCAGGGAACTAAGATCCCACATGCCACAACTAAAAGATCCCGCGTGCAGCAACGAAGATCCCTCGTGCCGCAACTAAGACCCGGCACAGCCAAAATAAATAAATAAATAGAATTTCAATAAACAAACAAACAAATAAATAAAACCCTTGATATTTTCTAAGTCTGATTCAAGTTACATACCTTTTCAGGATGAAACACCCACACACAATGAACCTATCAGACCTTGTATATTACATACAGGCACACCTCGTTCTATTGCACTTCACAGATACTGCATTTTTTACAAATTGAAGGTTTGTGGCAACCCTGTATTGTCAAATGATGGTTGGCACTTGGGAGGCAGTACTTTTTAATTAAGATACGTACATTTTTTTAGACATAATGCTATTGCACACTTAATAGACTACAGTGTAGTGTAAACATAACTTCCATAAGCACTGAGAAACCAAAGTTACAACAAGCAATTCCTAATGCACTGCTGGGCTTGCTAGAACATAAAAGAAATCTCTAAGAGCCCATCCCACCTCAGCCCCACACCCCACACCATCCCCCAACTACAACAAATCAAAACTGGCAAACTGGTGTGGTACACAGTGACCAGAGGAAAAGACGGGGCTTGCCCAGAGGACAAATGTCACCATCAGCACTGCAATGGAGAGTAACCCCTGGGCAGCAGACCAAGGTAGAACCCTGAACCACAGACTCGTGCTTGTACCAGGCTTTCTCAAAGGAGCCCAAAGCAGTGTCAGACTGGCAGCACCCCTCAGCAACAGGCAAAAAGCCTGTTATTATGTACTCCATATATAATAAAAAAGATTTTTAAAAAGTAATTCAAAATGTTGAAGGATTATGAAAGAAATAGGATGCTGAGATAGAAACTGCTTTAGACAGAATGGTCAGGGGAGCCTTCACTGAAGAGACAACCTCAAGCTGAGGCCTACAGGATGAAAAGGAGAGCACAAAAGAGCATTCTAGGCTACAGGAACAGCATGTACAAAGGCACGGTGGCAGCACAAAGGAGGACAGGCTCAAGAACAGGCTGCAGGGGGCTCGTGGGGCTGGACTCAGAGCCTGGCAAGCAAGGGCAGTGGGGCCATGTGACAGTGGAGCTTCTGGAATGGCACCAGGAAACTGTTAACCACAGTTATCTCCAGCGAGTGGGACTTTCACTTTTCACCATATTCCTTGGTCTATGCTATCAAAATGTATCAACAATTTCATTCTTTTCATGAAAAGCTGATTTTTAAAAGTTACCCACACCAAGATTTTAGAAAATAAAAAGAAGCTTCCACTTTATAGATAAAAAAAGGCACATTTTAAAAACTGGCATTGTAATTAAATTAGGACACTTAAATTGACAATACTCACTGCTAGAGAGGTTATGATTAAATTGCTACTTCTATACATTGCTAATGGCAATATAGACTAGTAAAACTTTTGGAAAGCAATTTAACAACACATTCTGAAAACAATAAAAATATTCTAATCCTCTGACCCACTCCTGGGAATTTATCTAGGGCAACACTCCAAATGAAAGGAAAAGCTAGATAGATGTCTATACATGACAAATGTCATATCTCCAGTGGCTACTGCAGCCCCCAAAAAGTATGCCTCCTGACAACAGGGTAATGAGTAATCACCTGACAAAATGATTAACTCACCTTATGGTACATTAGTTTGATGCTGTACCATACAAATATTAAAAATTGCAACTGAAAATTATACTAACATGTAAAAATGTTTCATGTAAATTTAATGATAAAACAAGCATATAAAATCACACCTCTGCTATGATTACCATAAAAGATGTTCACATATGAACAAGGACTTGGGAGAAAACATGAGTCAAGGAACAAAGATGATGTGATGAGGTAGCAGGGTTATAGAGGATTTACACAAGATTTAAATCTTAAATTTAAGGTCCTCCCTTCAGACAAATATCAAACACAGAAAAATAAAGTATACAAGGATGATAAAGCTTATCCCTCATTCCTCCTCCCTTAATCACATTCTTCTCAAATGAGTTAAAATCGAGCTCCCTTTAGGTGGCATTTGTCTCTTAAAAGACTCAGACTTGTTGCGGGACTCTCCAATCCTCTATCCGATCAGGGGAGCCAGTGAGGGGGACAGGAGGGGACACAACAGAACAGCATTCCCAGGAAGTGACAGGAGAGGGAAGAGTCAGATGAAGGCAGCGGCACCATCCCACAGGGAGGGGGGCGGGGGTGGGAGGGACGCTACCTGTTTGCCCATCCGCGCCCCATCCACAAGAATACACTTCTCCTTTATCCGTCAGGAACAGACTATGGTCCTGACCGCAGGCGACCTATCACACAAACAGAGGTGAGGTTGGTGAGAAGGAATCCTTAGAAGCCGGTGTCCTGATCCAAGTGCCCAAAGCCGGGCACCACTCCCCACGGCTCCTGAGTGCCAAGGGGGCTGGGCTGGTAAGCTGTCCCGCTCTGCTCCGCATCTGACTCTTTCTCATTCCAGCACAGCCCAGCTTGTGTCTCCTACTCCCCTGAAACTGCTCTTGCTAATAAAAAAAGAACAGTGCCAGGTGTCCTAAGGAGCGAAGCCAGGAGCTCCCCACCCTCCTCCCTCCTCCATAAGCCTCTCTCCCACACCCCCCAACAGTGTCCCGTCTTTGTCACTAGCTCAGTCTCCACTTCGGACCCTACAGGGCTGGAATCCTCCTCTGAGGTCTGCCCTTCTCGCTCTGCGCGCTTCCTGGGAGATGGCACCCACCCCCACGGCTTCTGCGGCCACCGCCACGTGGTCATCTCCAGTCTCAGCCACTCTGCTGAGTCCCAGACCTATTCTGCTAACTGCCTGATGCAAAGCACCATTCAGCAAACATTCCCTACGCCAGGCACCCTGCTAAGTCAACGACCAAGGCCACCCAGTAAGAAACCGGATCTCAGAGGAGTTTGGTAACTTGCCCCAAGTCACCGAGTTAACGTGTGGACAAGCAGGGACTTGAACCCGCATCAAGGTGGCTCTGAAGCCTGGGCAAGATGCACACTCCACTCCACCGCCACCTTGGAAACAAGTTCCCTCTCCACCTGCTCCTCACCTCCCCTGCTCCGGGACTCTGCCACCTGGGCCAAGAACGTCAGCGCCACCCATGTGCCTGTGGAGTCACACTTGGCTCCTTCTAGCTCCCTCCCCGCCCATCTAATCAAGCCTCGAATCTGGTCAATTCTCCTTACGTCTCCTCACCTGTCCCTTCTCCCCACAGCTTCCCACCTGGACTTCACCTCCTCCCTCAACTTTATTCCATGGCCAAAGTTATCTTCTTAAACAGATCGTGACTTGGCTGTCACTCACCCTGCTCAGAACCTCCGGCAGCCCCTGACCACCAAGAGGACGAAGTCTAAACTCCTTAATGAGGTGTACAAGACCCTGCACCGTCCCCTCAACCCGTCTTCCAGCCGATTCCACCCCGCCCCACCGCAGGCAGGCACACCACACTCCAGCCACACTGCATGCTCTCGGCACCATCGAGCCTTCAGGCTGCTCCTTCTGCCGTAACACCTCTCCTACCACCCACCCCGGCCCAGCTGGTCAGTTCCTCGGCTACCTCCTCCATGACGCTGTCTCTCCTTCCAGTCCACGCCTGGTAGATGTAACTATTCTCCTTCTGGTGCTTTCATAAGTGCTTTCGGTAGACACTCATTTACATATTTAAGCATTTAAGTATCTACCATATGCCAGGCACTGTACCCAAGCATGGGTACAAGATAAAGCAGGCTGGGACACACACAGCCTTAATATACTCTGAAACAGCTAGTTTTTATAACCTGCCTCCCCCACTAGAGTGTTACCGCCCTCCCCAATTTTTACTAAACTTTGTATCCCCACAAGCTAGCGTAAATCCTGGCCTATAGTAGGCAGGCAATATTTACTAAAATAATTTATTAATTCAGAAAATCCCCCTAACAATTTGCCATCACCTCACCCAACTTCCACCCTTTCAAAATCACCCCCCGGGGTGGGACCAGTGGTTCTCAGCCCACGTCTCTTACCTGGACCACCTGTCCATCGAAGTCCTGCATCCTATGGACTTTGTGACTTTCACTACAGCCAGGAGCAATTTGGGGAGAACCAAAAGATACGGTCATGATAAGCACTGTGCGATTCTGGCCCTTCCCGTCACCCCAACTAGCAGCCTCCCCACACACATAGCAACGTTAGGGAAACTCTCAAGGTCAAATATAAGGAAGAGGTAGGTCTGGGCATGAAAGGAAAATGAAACAAAATCCTTTGGTGATTTTAATATGCTGCAGATTTCTGACTGGTGTTTAGACCTACCAGCATAATGTGAGGAACTAGAGGGAAATTTTTTTAAAGACTAGAGGAATTTTTAAGTTAATCAATTTGGTGAAAATAACAAACAAAATCAAAGAAGTTCCACGCATCACAGTCAACGCTCACACGCCCTCCCTCCCACCTGCACCGGAAAGATACTCTCCACAGCCTTCCAGTGAGTTCTCACTGCTCCTCTCCAACATGAGGAACCTCGAGTTTCACTGCTCTGTGGGTCCATCACATCATAATCACTCAGGGGGTGTTTAATGCTTGACACAATTTGGGGAAGGGGTAGTCCTTT